CCAGAGCTCATCAAAAGCCCACCGACAGAATAAATGAGCTATTGTCTAAAAATAATAAACTTACATCTAACCTTTGAAAAATGAAGTCTCACACAGTGTGTGGGTCTTGTTTTTGTTTTTAATTACCCAGACAGAAAAAAGCCATCAAAAATTAAATGCAGCTAATTTATTCCCCATACCAAAAAAGTAGTAGTACAGTGGATAGAAGGTGGGATTGTCAATCTCAAGTGCTAGAGGAACACTGGTGTGTCACAGAATCCCATATGTAGAACAAGATCCAAACTTCCGTGTGAGCACTGAAAGAATACTGTCCTGTTTATTCCTCCCAGGAAGAAGAATCCCTCACCTAAAGGGCAGTCACCCAACTGGCAGGGATGTTTCTTCTCTCTTGGCTCAGATTACTGCAGTGCAAGGTAAAGTAGTTCAATATAAATCAGTCCCATGTTCAACGGAAGTTCCTACAACATTTTATAGATATATATAGATAAAACAGATCCTGATTTATCTCTGCACCTGACTGACCCCCCAGCCCCCAACCTCTGGTAACCCTTACACGTCACTGAAGGAGAAGGTTTAAAATTTAGTTGGCCACTGTTCCATAAGCAAGGAACTTATAACTTCTGTCTTTTGCAAATGGAAATGAGATTAAAAGGGGGGAAAAATGAGAACAAGAATAAACTGAGACCGGGCGCGGTGGCTCACGCCTGTAATCCTAGCACTTTGGGAGGCTGAGGCGGGCGGATTGCTCAAGGTCAGGAGTTCGAAACCAGCCTGAGCGAGACCCTGTCTCTACCAAAAATAGAAATAAATTAATTGACCAACTAAAAATATATATACAAAAAATTAGCCGGGCATGGTGGCACATGCCTGTAGTCCCAGCTACTCGGGAGGCTGAGGCAGCAGGATCGCTGAGCCCCGGAGATTGAGGTTGCTGTGAGCCAGGCTGACGCCACGGCACTCACTCTAGCCTGGGCAACAAAGTGAGACTCTGTCTCAAAAAAAAAAAAAAAAAAAAAGAATAAACTGAGTTTGGCTTTTCTAAAGAACATATAAATATATTATGTATACATTAATAAATATTTCTTTAAAAAAAAAAAAGCCTACAGGCTCTACCATGTAGAAACTCTAACTCATAATTTCTTTTTCCATAACTCTGTAATTTGAGTAACTCCAAAGTTTAGTTACCAAACACTACATCATAGTTGTTTTCATGGTTTTCAACCTTACTGTAGATGTTTGCTTCCTTAAGTTTTCCTTACCCTCATTTTAGTCATTTAATAAACAATGAACATTTAAGTGGAGGGAAAAAAAAAAGTAGTGAACAAATTTTAACAGACTCTAAGAGAGAGAGAGAAAAAAAAAACACAGAAAACAAAGGAATACAGTTAAATGTGGAAACCTGGCCGGGCGGGATGGCTCACGCCTGTAATCCTAGCACTCTGGGAGGCCGAGGCGGGAGGTGGGCAGATTGCTCAAGGTCAGGAGTTCGAAACCACGCTGAGCAAGAGTGAGACCCCCGTCTCTACTAGAAATAGAAACAAATTAATTGGCCAACTAATATATATACAAAAAATTAGCCAGGCATGGTGGCTCATGCCTGTAGTCCCAGCTACTCGGGAGGCTGAGGCAGGAGGATTGCTTGAGCCCAGGAGTTTGAGGTTGCTGTGAGCTAGGCTGACGCCATGGCACTCACTCTAGCCTGGGCAACAAAGTGAGACTCTGTCTCAAAAAAAAAAAAAATGTGGAAACCTGCCTTCCAATCACTGCCTGATCATTAACTAATTCCATAACCTTCAATAAGTCACTTCAACATTCTGGGCCTCAGTTTCCCCATCTGTAAAGTGGGGAAGATAGGCCAAGTGATTTATGCTCAAAATCTTTTCCAGTTCCAACAATCCCGGTATCTGTTTATCAAAAAGCAAATGCAATTGCAAATAAGACTTAATGGTACGCAAAGTAGTTTCGTACATATATTCTCATTTATTTTTGTAGCAAAGCTGTGAAGCAAGTTTTGTGCCCATCTCTGCAGAAAAAGGCAGTGAAGTTCAGAAAGAGGTTCAATTATTTTTTAAGCTCTTACAGCCAGAAAATGGGAGCAGGTATCTGAAACCCAGACCTTCTAAGGACAAATACTGGGCTATACTATTTCAAAATTTTTAAGTTAAAATTCAAAAATAATTGCCTGCCATGCTAAACCTTTATGGAGGCGGCAGGGTATTATAACTCCAAACCAGGGAAGGTTACTACAAATGGGTACACCGAGTATTCCACGAGGCCAGGAACACTCTTTTGCTCATGACTGGAATCAAAGAAACCAACAGCACACCTCCCAGATAGCGGCACTCAATAAATATTTTCTGACTCCCACAAATCTCAAAAGGTTAGGAATACAGGAATACTATGGGGGAAAAATATTTTTTCTGAATTTATTTTGAGATTTGAATTTCCATGATTTGAGCCAAAAGGAAGAAAGAAGTATGCTTTGTCAGAGTTCTAGCTCTTTATCATGAGGATGAGTCTACTGACCTTTCCCAGGGAAAGTCCAATTTGGTCAGTGAACCAAATGGCTCAAATCTCAGATGTCACCTGAAAATCTTCAGGACATTTATGCTTCCCTTGTGCATTGATATGGACTAATAGAAATGATAATACAATGGTGAGGACTGACAAGAGGCACCTAATCATGTTAACATTAATCATTACAAACTTTCAACTAAACTGGACAGGTTCAAGGAATCTGTACTCTTAAACCATTTCCGCTTTCCCATGATCCTGTTTCACAGCTCAGAGATTTAAAAGAACAGTCACTTACTAAAAAATTCAAACTGCAACTTAAGATAGAACACATACACATCTCAACTCAGTCAACCAACATCCCCCAAAAGTCTACAACACTGCTAATCTCAAGCAATCCTCAATCGATGACTTCAATAAAATTACTAGAAGCTGTTTTCTTTAAAAGTTGTTAAAAAAAAAATCAAGATGAGGGCACTACACCAAAATTACACACTTAATTCAAAGTAAAAGCAAAGGAAATAAAAAAGCTAGAAAATACTAGTTAAAAGATAGTAAAAAAAAAAGAGTTAAATGAATCTCAATGTAAAATTTCAGAGAAGTGCTTTGGAATTATTACCAAGAGTTCAAGTCCATCTCGCCATATAATCCCACAGTGAAATTACAATTATTACTGCCTGATACTTCAGATTTAAAAACCTCATTGTACCAGAATTGTAACTCAAACTCAAGGAGCAGAACCAGGAACTGCAGAGAAGCTCACAACAGCAACACCTACTGACTGTCTTGAGCCACTTGCCAAACTTGTTCTCTCAGTCAACTGGAGAAATTTAATGATAGTCAACTTCAAGAGTCCTTTACTAATGCATTAATGAGATAAAATTAGTTGTCAGTGACATAAAACCATTCATCCCCTAAAATCTCTTATTTTGCCTCGAAACATTTATGTGCAAACCATCACCCAAGTCATTTTAAATGCATCGTTAATTGCTTATGCCTTGGTATAAATAATTTATTCCATGGGAAAAAATTTTTAAATATTAATATTCTAGTTAATAACTGGGAAGTCATCTAATAGTGGACACATCAGTGACCATAAACTGATTTACTTAAATCTTTTAGCTGAGACTATTGCTATTACCACTGCTCTATATTATCTCATCATCTTTTTTTTCATCCTGGTAAAGGTAGCTTAATTGCAGCTTTCAAAAAATGAAAAGGAGAAAAGTGAAAGTCAAAAGTCGTTAACACAGGATTATATAGAAAATGCATAGTTACTAAGCCGGCTGCAGGGAGCGAATCTGTAGGACTTCATCTTGTACTTTTCCAAGAGATTCGGTAGGAGAATCTTTGCCTTGGAAGAATATTCCATACGAGAAAACAGGAGAAAGTTGACACTTAACTCCCACAAAGTACCAGTATAAAACAATGGCTTTAAGAGTCTGAGTCAGAGTTTCAACATGAAAGGTTTGCTTTATAGAGGAAACGCCAACCCCAGTTCATCCAGATAGACCTGGAACCTCAGGAAAGTCGACACCTCTACTCTGAAATTTGCATCGCATCACTAGCTCCAGTTTAGAAATATAATCGTTTAGCAGATAGTATGAATTTCAGTGAAGGCTGCCTCTAAACTACTCGTTATGAAAAATAAAATCTATACGGTAAATGTAGTAGTCTAAGAGCCATCAGTCCTCAAACGCTTCCCTTAGAAAACGAATGCCAACAATTCATTTAAACATTCTTCCTTGAAAGTGAGCCATTTCCCAATCTCTGTTTCCCAAACGGTGAGCCCCGATGAAATTTCAACCTGCCCAACACGATTACTTGTCCCCCAAGAAATGCCGTGGAGCGATCTAAGAGCCTCAGAAATCTCCTGTAAGGTCAGGAGAGAAGTTGGAAACAGATGGGGCGAAGGAGGAAAAGTTCTTTTTGCAGCACCCTCACGCCTCCCCAGCCCCCTCGAGGTTTACACCTCCAAGGAAAGCAGGTTGGAGCATCCCAAATTTTCACTCCCCCAAGACCCCCAAGGGGAGAGAAATTAGGCAGCCTCCGGCACCCAGCTGCTCTTCCCCCTTTCCCACAAGCGAACCTCTCGGCCCGTCCCCTCCAGCACAGCCCGCAAAGCGCTCACCAGGTGGCCGAAGGGGAAGGGTCGCCCGGAGGAGACGAGCGCTGCAGGGTGGGCGCAGCCCCTCGCACGGGGACGCGGGTCTCCGGCCTCTAGCAGAGGCGCCCGCCGCGCAGTTGTGCAGACTCGGGTTCCGAGGTGCGAGCGTGCACGCGCGGCGGGCGCGGAGGAGCCGAGACTCGCCCCCGCCCGGCTGCGCTATCAGCACGCCACCAGATCGGAAATCAAACTTTACCCGGCCTGCCGGTGCCCTGCTCCGGGCCCCGGACCCAGCCCCGGCCCGAAACAGGGCATGGGGCTGTCAGCAGCCTCGCATGCCCGCTCCCCCGCCAGGACCCGGGGCGCGGGGGCCACTTACCGCTCCGCCCGACCTCCCGGTGCAGCCGCGCGTCCCGGGCGCGTCCGCCGCGCGCTCCCCCTGGGGAGAAAGAGAAACCGCGTAGACGGTCGGCGCGCGCTCACTCGCCGCCTCCTCTGCGGAGGACGGCGGGCGGCGAGGCCGGGCCGGGGCGAGCGCCCACCGCCGAGCCGCCGAGCGGAGGGCGTCCGGGGGAGGCGGAATCGGCGCAAGCCCCGAGCCTGGCTCCGAGGGGGACCCGGAATGCAGGCTGGCGCGCAGCCGGCGGGGGCTGAGCTCCTGGAGGCGCGGAGGCGGAGTGCCCGTCCTCGGGCATCAACTATTGTCTAGGCGCCCGGGCCCCCGCTCGCGCCGCCCCGAGGCTCAGCGCCCCCCATCCCGCCTGCCTGCCCCCGGGAGAAAGAGCCAAGGGCGGCCGGCGCAGGAAGCTAGTGGGGCGGCGGGGGTCCGCAGTCCGAAACCGGCCCGGGGTGGGCGCGGGTCGGGGGAAGGGAGGTGCGCGCCGAGAGGGGGAGGGGACAGGTAACTGCGGACGGCGGCGGGAAGGCCCGGGAGGACCGTGGGGGGAGGAAATGGGGAGGGAGCCACAGCGGAGGTAGGGATGCAGTGGCTGGAGGAGGGCGGCCTCTGGGGCCCAGACCTGGCCCTCCCCGGGGACCCTCCTCCCGGGGACTCGGCGCCACACCGACTTTTGGATCACTTGCTCACGCACGCACTAAACTCGATCACAAAGTTGCCGGCAGCGGCGGCGCAGCGCTAGCCCTTCCCCTCCCCGCCCCATCCCTTCCCCTCCTTCTCTCCTCCCTCCCCCCAACTCGCGGGTGAGATCACCGCGGAGCCGCTCGGCGCTGCGCGCGCAAGTCTCGCGAGAGGAGCGGCCGCTCGGCCCTGCGGGCGGGGGCAGTGAAAGGAGTCTGAGCCGGGTGGAGGACCGCAGAACTCCTGGTTGCCATGACGACGGCAAAGCCCTGGATTCCTGTTTCCTGCGGAGAGCAGAGGCAGCAAACGTGGGTGCAGCTTTCCACCTGCCCCCTTCCCAGATCGACGCCCTCGTGGTGGGGAGACGGGGGGTGGTAGCGGAAGGAGGGTTTCAAGCGTATCTGAGAGGGCATCTTTAGAAGACGAGCATTATGATGTCTAGCCAAGTTTGGCAAATGAGGTTAGTTTTTAAGAGGTTTGGGGGCAGATTTCTGCCATAGAAGCATATGCAAATCTGTATTCCTAAATATCTACCACATATTGTTTTCAACCTTCCCTTTTAATCTCCACTCCCACGCCATACGTCCCTCCCTCCTCCTCTTTCTGACACCCCCACCCCGCAGCCCCACTCCCACACAGGCCCCACCAGACTGGGCTCCTTGAGGATCTGGCTTAGTCATTTCCCTATTCTCTATAGCTTGGCACATAGCAGGTATTTGCTTAATGTCTATTTTAAGTGAATGCACAAGTCCATACACACTTTTGTCCTACCCTGGAGAGTACTTAGGCTTAGAAAATATAAGTTTCCGCTACACAGTCAAGTTTTTAACTCTATTACCCTCCCATTTCTATTCACTCCATGTCTTTTTCAATGGTTATAATCCCTCCTTTCTCCATCTTCGTCTTATAAAAACCCTATTCACCGTGGGGGCGGGGACACAAAGCAGTTTTGTTTTTGTTTTTTCCAGAGAGGGGACAGCCGATCTCACTCTGTCACCCAGGCAGGAGGACTGGAGGGCAGTGGGGCGATCATAGGTCACTACAGTTTGTCTGGAACTCCTGGGCTCAAGAATCTCCCCGCCTTAGCATCCTGAGTAGCTGGGACTGCAGGCATAGGCCACCATGCTTGGCTCAGGCTCAAAGCATTAAAAAAAAAAATCATTGAGCATCTTCAGATGCCTTTATACCTACTCCAAATTGCTGTTAAGGATGAAGATGAAATTTTCTCATTCCCTGTTTCTTCTTTTAATTGTGGAAACTTTTCTGTGGGGGTGTTTACATACTACCTAAGTAAAATGGATACTGTGAATAGAAGTTAAGCTTAAACTTTAGATTTCAAAATGTATGAGTAAAAATAGATTCTATGGTATGTGAATTATATCTGAATTTTTTAAATTCCTATACATTAATATGGGGAACCATTATTTAACTCACTTCCACAGAACATGAAAGCTAAAACATGAATTTAAGGATATGAAGACTAGGGAGTTGAGACTCTTAGATTACTTGCAAGCTTAAGTCCTATGTCAGTGAATTTTTTTATATTAGAAACCTAAATGATACACAATGGTAAGAGGCACTACACAAAGTCAGGAAACTAAGGTTTAGGTTCTTCTGTGCCACTAATAATTGTATCCCTTTGAAAAGTTATTTAATCTCTCTGATTCTTCATCTGTAAAATAAGGGGGTGGCCTACATGTTAGGTTATTACAGTTTTAAAATTCTCTAGTTCTCAGGCCTATCAAAAATTCCAACAAATGACATCCTTTTATAGAAAACAACAAGAGAAATGAGTCTTCCATTTTATAGATCAGTTTCACAAAGTTTAGCTACATGTTGACAATTTTTTTACATGTTGGCAATTTTATTTTAGGTTCTCTTGTCTCAACTACAAAGACAACAAAAATATTGACCATGTTACAGTAATTTCAGAGGGAATCCATTGTTCATGATTTGTTTCTACACTAACTCAAAACAGATTCCTAGTTATTTAATAAATATGCTGATTCAAACCAAAGACCCAAACTAAATACATCCACACTCCCAAAATGGCTGTAAGAAGGAAAGAGGGAGGGAGGGAGGGAAGGAAGGAAGGGCCTCAGTTCATAGACTTGGTATGTTTAATATCACATTTTTACAAATAAGCACAATGGAACATAACCATCAACCCTATGAGTCTGTTTCAAGGAACCATCTTTCATAACAGCAAAATATTAAAAGTCAGTTGTTACTCATTTGTTCTAGCTTAACTTTTAGCATAGTTTTGCCCTTTAAGGATGACTGCCAATCTGTATCCACACTGTAATTTTCAATGCCACCTGTTTTATGACTCCCAGATAGCCATTTGAAATAATTGACCCAAGTGCTAGCCAAACCTATTAACTTTCTTCAACTCTTCTTATGAGGCTCAAGAGATGGATGTTGGCCTCAAGTTACAAAGATAACTTCCCTAATCTTCATGCAGGCCTCAAATTACAAGATAACTTCCCTAATCTGCAGGCATAGTAGAATAGTGGAAATTGTCCCAGGGATCTAAACCTCCTCTTTCAAGGCCCTGGGCTACTGTTTACCCTTCACTGCTGGCAGAACTTTCATCCCAGTTTCTGAAGGAGATAAGGAGATAAGTGAAATCCACCAAAGCTGAGTTTCCAACTGCACATTCTCTGTGTCAAGCACTTCCACTGTATCCTCCTGACCTTCCTGAGGTTTCCAGCTGCACATTCTCTGTGTCAAGCACTTCTACTGTATCCTCCTGAGGTATCCTTCCTGAGGTTTCAGAATAATAGCAGAAGAGGGAAAGAGGGAACAGAGAGTTTGCCAAGCACAGACTAGATGTCAACCCACTTTCTGCCCACTCCCTCTCCTGGCTCTTCTACCCACCTCTGATCAACCCCTTCCCCTACACACACAAGGATGTGTAACCTTTCCTAGTGAGGAGAACATCTAGTTGTTTACTATGTTAGTCCTCCCTATTTGCTAGTAGTTGGTTAGAAATCAAGTAAATTCATTTCTCTCTGCTTGTTTACTTCTCAACAAAACACCCTAACACATCAAATACAGAATGAGTTTTAACACAGGACTACCAAGTGAGAAGATTTTATATATATATATATATATGTATATATTTTAATGCTATAAACACTGATTCATATGTGCATGTTTTACAGTTAAAATCTGGTTCATCTGGCTTTCCTGTTACTAGCTATACATCTACAGGGCATTGCTAACTAATATGCAGGAAGATAACTCTGAACCATTAAAAGGTCCAAAGTGCCCTCCAAATCATCAAAGATTAAATGATATCCAATGTTGTTTCACTTTTAGGGTTTTACTGTTTTCTTTCGATTGATGTTAAGTAACTTGACCAAACTACTGGATTCCTTAAAATACACTCATTCTCTCATTTGTATAATAGTATTTATTACAAGTTTAAAACATCAACTACTTTGAAAAAATTAACATTTTATGTTAATCAATTAACAGCAAAGCTACTACAGTTCCCTCCCTTCCTCTTTAAAGAACTATTTCACACCTTCTCCTCCTTCATCATCAGACCTCTGCTTGCTACGCCCAGCTGATGGTCTTACTTCTTCTTTTGTTGGTAAAATAGGAGCAATCAGAAGAGAACTGAACACACAGTCCTTCCCTGCCACTCTGGCTACCAGCCTACCTGCATCTGTCTGCGTACTCTTCTGTCCTTCCTGTCACCTGTGATGAACTCTCAGTGCTCTTAGCCAAGATTAACCTCTCTCAATCTGTGTACTAGTCCCATCGTTTCTAACTCAGGGACATTGATTCAGCAATTTTCCCCTTTCTCTCTTGCATCAGCAAATTTTCCCTTTCTACTCAATCACTTCTAAGGGCTTACGAGCATGCTTATAATAGCTGTGATGGTAAAAAATAAAATGTTTCCTACATTCCACGTCTTTCTTTGCTTCATTTCACAACCGGAATCTTCAAAAGGCTCTTCCACACTTGTGGTTTTCAATTCCTCTCCTTAGATTCCCTTGAGTCCATTCTGAGCAGCCTTTCACCCCCACCACTCATGGCAACAGGTCTTCTCAGGCTCATCAGTGACAGCCTCATTGCTAAATCTGGTGCTCAATTTCCATCCTTAATTGGCTGAACCCCTTGGCAGCAGGGGAGAGGTTGATCATGTTCACCTTTGAAACACTTTCTTCACTTGGCTTCCAGGCAAAGAGTCTATTGTGATTCTTCTCTTACCTTTCTGGTCTTTTCAGTCTTCAATCTTTAAACACAGGAGGCTTCAGGACTCAGTCTTTGGACATCTCTTTGTGGTCTCTTCTCACTCCATGGTGATTTCACCAATCTGCTGGCTTTAAATACCATCTATACACTGACTACTCCCAAATTTATTCCCAGTCTAGTCATCTCCCCCATCTCCAGCCTCGAGTACCGTCTTTTACTCAACATCTCCAGTTAGTTAGATACTAGCAATCTCGGACTTTACATGTCTGAAACTGATGAGCTCCAAGTATTCCCCCAAAACTGGTGCCCTCCTGAGCTCTAGGTATCTCCCCCACCCAAGCTGGTTCCCTTCTGCAGTCTTCCCCCTCTCAGTTAAGGGCACCCTGAGATTGAGAGGGTTTTGTTCAAAGCAAAAGTCTTGAAGTCATCCTTGATGCCTCTATTTCTCTCACATCCCCAAACCATTAGCAAATTCTGTTGGTCCTTCCTTCAAAGTATGTGCAGAATCCAATCACTTTCCACCCACTGCAACTCTACCTCTCTGATTCAAGCCATTTCTCACCTAGATTTCTCCCTACTGGTCTCCCTGGCTGATTTCCCTACTTCTGCTTGTTCCCCCCGATTATTTGTTCTACACACAGGATGCAGAGTAAGGAGCGTGAGTAAGTAGATCACGTCACTTCTGTGCTCAAAAACATTCCAGGGCTTCTCACCTCACTCTTAGAAAAGGCCCTAGTTCATTTTCTTGTTCAGAGAACAGTATTTCCTCTGACTTTCATCTCCTTCCTCTCTCCCCTCCCGCTTTCCACCCCAGCCACAGTGGCATCTGTGCTGTTC